AGTGCTTAGTAATAGTCAGGTAACACAACAACCTTTTATTTATTTATATGATTTTGTTGAGGTTCATTTTACCATTTTTTTTAATTGAAATCGAGGGGTATACTGACAAAAAAAAGGCCCAGAGGCCCACACCAAAAATATTAAAACCAATATTTTCATGGATATGGAAGCCTAACAAGGTAACCAAGAGATGAGAAACAAATTGGATGATAGCTAATTGTTTTTAGTGTATTTTGCAGCTGATTTAAGACACGGGTCAAAACCAACCCGTTAACATAAGAGATGGTAACAGAAAGCGAACACAAGAGGAAGGTTAAGGTGACCAATTAAGAAATTTAAAAATGGGAATCATATTAATTTTCAAAATTGTCAAAATAATTTGACATTATACCTAAAGTGTTTTTTTAAACCCAAAAATTGAGGGATGTAAATATTGCATTTCGTGGTCATTTCTTCCTACCTGCTCTCTCCAGTAGTTACTGATATGGTGACGTTAACTTTGACTTGAGATATTTACTGACTATCGAAAATCCTCAGTTGTTCTAATGATTACCCATTTGATCTTTACAATTGACGCAGATACAGTAATTAACAGCAGATGGCAATGTTGTACCATTTAGTCCGGGGCTGTCAAACCCAAACTTACAGTGAGCCAAAATTAAAAATTGGGACAAAGTCGCGGGCCAAAATGAATATTTATTGAAAAAATGACGGCAACAGTAAACACAGAATCTGGAACAACAAAAGCTTAATAATATAAAGACATGAGAAATTAAATTTGAATTAAAATTAAATTTTTTATCAGTCTCTTTATGTGTAGTCTTTATTTAATGTAAATCTTTTCACAGAACAGCAACAAAAAAAAATCGTAAAATGTATGTGCTATAGCATAGCGCATACACAGTTAATACTACAAATACTGCCAGTATATAGTGTCATGTCTGTCTGTTTCCGTGTTTTCCTGTGTTCTTTGTGGGGTAATCATGGGATCACACTCACCTGTTTGGTAATTAGCTTCACTTGTGTCACCTGGTGTTCCCTGTGTGTATATATACCCCTCTCCCTCACTCTGTCGTGTTGGGATCATTGTGATGGTGGTGGTGTGCGGTTGCTCATCGTGACTGTGTTAGATCTTCGTTTAGGTGAGTTTCCTACTCTGTGTTTCCTCGTGTTCCTTGAGAATTCCATGCCTGTTACTGTTAGTTCTTCGTGTTTTGTTAATTTGGACTTTGTTA